GTGGGCAGAAAAGAATTAAATTTGAATGGATCTGCAAATAAATATCAGAAATATATATTCAATAATTGATATAAAAGAGAAAATAAAAACCCTTAACTGATTCCATGAAAAATAATTATGTTAAATTTAAATTATTTATTATTACTAAAAATGGATAAGATAAATTATCTTGAGACCTGAGATTTATTGATCAACTAAAACAGATAAACAAATAAATAAAAGATAATTATTGATTATACTAAAACATTAATTGGTGAAATGTATACGAAGCAGGGGATTTACATATAAAAATTTGGGGCATGTTACTAATTGAAGGAAATAATCAACTGTGTTTGTGAAATAGTTATACAACATACAAAATTTATATCACACCAAATTTTGTGCAAAACTATAGGATAAATGTGAAAAAACATGAAAATCACAAAAAAATCTTTATTTGTTAGAAAAAAAGAAAGTTATGTACGAAGTCACCATTTCGAAGTTTTGGGTTAATATTTTATATATAAAATTACTTATGTCGATTGTTTTTCCATGTTGTTGTTATTGTTTTTTTATAGTTTTTTTAAATAAATAAAAATCTTTTAAAGAATATAAGATGTTATATGTGATGAGTTGGGTGTTTTTATATTGGTGAAGTTTGCCATTTTGTTGAAACAGATCATAAAGGAACAACCCTGCATATAGTAGTAAATGAATTCTTTGTTTTTCATATGTTGGACTTGTGGTGATGAAGCCACCATTTTGAATAATAGTAAATTTGCTATGAAATTAGCCCCTATGATTGTATATGAAAATCCCCTGGTTGATAAAAGATCTGTGAATTAAACCAGATTTTTTTATCTTAGAATTAATGCACAATGTAATCTTCTGAGATTTTTGCTGAATGTATCATTTGATCTAATTGAAATGTACTAAAAAAAATTTTTAAAATATATAAATATGGTAGATTTTGGACTGAGTTTGATGTATCAAAAAAATGATCATTATAAATAAAAAAACCATTTAATAATATTAATTCAACTCTTTTTTAAAAAAGCCATCTAAACTGACTATCACTTGTGTGATTGATTCAATCATTAGACTAAAAAACAAACAATTTCAGAATTATTGAAATTATTGCCATTACAAAGATGAAATAAAATAATAATTTTTTAAATATAATTAATTATACATCTTTAATAAAACAAATATGACTTAGCTATTTAATCATTTCCTTGTATGTGAATGCCTCCATCCAATAAATATTCATGATAGTCATGATTATTATTCAATACATTTGATATCATCATTGACATAACAAACAATTGCATCACCCAAGTAGTAATAACACCAAGGCCATGCATAAATGAAACTTTTAATAATGTGTGTCTACCCAGATCTCTGGTGCTCACAAGAATAAATAAATAGGAAGGATCAAAAAAAATTATTTTCCCTTCTTGTTGTATGGTTTCTTATGAATAATAAATCTGATGTTGATCACAGGTGTCAGATTTAATAAAATTTCCTATCACAAACATGTGGTTGGGTGCTTTCACACACCTCATAGCTATGGATTTTTTTCCACAGGTGAGGGTCCCCAATGTTGGAAGGCTTTGGACAAAACTTCCCTTATCTTCCTCTCAGACCAGGCTTGGCTGTTACTATCTGGTGCTTGTGTGGTGTTTACTTTGTGTTATACCTCTCTCACTAGAATAAAGTTGGTGTTAAGACTGATTCAAAATTCTCCAATTCGGGAGGTTGCAATCTGGGTTGTTGTTTTGGATTTTCCCCGAATTCAGAGTTTTGAGTCCTGGGTTGCTGTCTTGTCAGTGGCATGCCAACTCATCAACAACCCTACCCCTTTTAAATAACAAATTCAGTTGGTCAAATAAAAATTTAAAGAAACAGAAAATTTGGAAATGATTAATTTATATGCAAAATACCTAAAGCATAGCTTGAGAGCTTACTAAGTTATTTGGCTTGCAAGCTGGCTAATGTGGAGCCTTAAACATACCAAACAAAATCTAAACCATTTTACCTGATTATGGCAGTTTGGCATGACACCCTAAAGTCATAAAAGTTGTAAACTGTAAAACCATAGAGCCCAAACACAATTTCAGGATCACCAACCCCATTCTGAATTGTAACCTCTTACACTTGAAATGAGTTGCAGATTCTCATAATATTCCTCCAGAGTTGCAACACCTTGGTCACAGAGCCATCCTTACCATAGAGTAGGATCGTTGCAGGCAACTTTTTGGCTAGCATGCCAGCAGCCCTCTCTGGTCTGAGTGCTGTGAAGATTAGTGAAAGTGTCCTTGATGATTGATGCAGTCTTGATAAACTCCAGGGCCTTACACCCCCCCTAGAACTTAGCAACATCATTGTATCATCGGGGGCCTTGCAGTCAGATTAGCCTTGTGTACGCGAGGAAGACGTGAGAATGACTGTAAAGCGTTCAAGGTAGCATGCATGCTTCAACGTCTGTAAATTTCTGATAATCAAACATTGCATATCGAAAAGTTTCATATTCAACGGTGTGCTGCCTTGACGTCTTCATGTAATTATATATTTATATTTATATTAATATTAATATTACTGATTACGAAAAGCAAAATACCAATCATTTGCTATCTTTATAATTACCCAGCAAGACCTGCTCCACGTTTTGATTCCAATTAAAATATTTATATAAAATAAAAGAACCACATTATATCAATACAAATAAAAAAATTACCTCTGTCGTTAACACGTCTTCTTTAGGAGACTCATGTTTTGCCATCTTTGAAAAATAAATTGTTTTTTCCAAAAAAAAAAAAAAAAATCAATCAATTCGCGTCAAAAAATTTCTGTACAACATCAAATGCCAAATAATAGCGTGGGCAAAAAATTTATTATTAACATTAAGTTAAGGTCTGTGTTCAGTTCGTTATGAAAAAACTTGTCAATCTTGACTAAAGAAATACAAATAAGGAAATTGTTTGCATAAAAAACTATGAACCTTTCTTATATATATGTATATTATCTTTAGTTTTACAAAT